TTTAATTAGGATTGCCAAATTTAACAAATAAATATACAGGAAGTTCAGTTAAATGTGAATTTCAGACAAACAATGAATGCATTTGTAGGATAAGTTATCCCAAATATTGCACAGGATGTACTTATACTTTAAAAACCATATTCATTACTTATGTGAAATGCATATTTAATTTGGAATCTCATATGGTGATGTGTGCTAAAGTTTGAGAATCACTTTTGGGAGGACATCCCAATGGATGTGTCTAGCACAGCCCAGACAAGGAATGGAGAAGCAGTCCTGTCCTTAAAGAGGAGGACAGAAGCAGGGAGCAGGGTGCCATCTCAGTGTCCTGGATATTCTTGAAATTACAAGCTTAATTAATGAAGAAAGTAGTTTCTTGAAATTTGTTGAGAGCAATTCCATTTGAACTATGATCTTTTTCCCTCAAAGAGAAACCGACAACTCTTGCTCTTTGATGAAACTCGGGGCACTCCATAAAAACACAGGTCATGTATTCTTTCAGAGTAGTATGGCTTTGTGGGCAAATGTTTCTTAAAGGTCTCTTACATTTGTCATCTCATTTAAGCACAACAATACCCTTGTGGGTTAGGGGAAGGAAGAGTCTTATTCTTGGTTTATAATGGAGGAAACTAAGGTTCAAAGCACAAAAGTGACTGGTCAGGTCACATAATTTGTGATGGCAGAGCCAAGATTAGAACCTGGTTGAAAGGTTCCCAGTGTGCTTAGAAGAAGGGGAAGGGGAAGCCTTTAATGCATTCAAACATGAGTTTTGATACAGGGTAGTTTAAAAGATATATATTTTTATTATTTTTAATTGACATGGAATAATTATGCATATTTATAGGGCACAGTGTGTGACATTTTAATAAATACATAAAATGTATAATAATCAGAACAGAGTAATTGTGATGTCCATCACTTCAAACACTTATCATTTCTTTGTGTGGGAACATTCAAAATCCTTTCTACTCACTTTTTTGAAACATTTAGCATACTTTCCCAAATCCATTGAATGCTTCTATTTGTGTGGGCTCTCTCTTGTCCAGCAAGGAGGTCCACAGTATAGGGTAGAAGAGAGTGTGGCTGTATAGTCGCTAATCAAGATTTCTGGAGACAAAGCAGGAAGCAGGTCTGATTTTATTGCGCAGGTACCATGTATATATACTCAAGTAGTAGCTAAGCAGATTACAGGCAGCCACCAATACAATTTCTGGCCAACTGTCCTTGCAGCAACCAATAGAGGAGTGGGCCATGGAGCAAGCACAGGGACTGCAATATGCAGCCCATACTCAGGGCTGTACCTACAGGGTAAGTGGTTTGCCATCACATGCCCTTAAAGTATGCCATGTATACAGTACTCCATGCACTTGTCCCAACACTTTTTTTTTTTTGGTACTAAGGACTGAACTCAGGAGCACTCAATCACTGAGCCACATCCCCAACCCTATTTTGTATTTTATTTAGAGACAGGGTCTCACTGAGTTGCTTAGTGCCTCGCTTTTGCTGAGGCTGGATTTGAACTCACGATCCTCCTGCCCCAGCATCCCAAGCCACTAATGCTCCTAATTTTTAAGATAGGAAGACAAACATAATCCTGTCCATTTCCTTGGGTAATTCTTGGCCCCTAGGTTAGAAGTAAACATAACATTCATGTGTAAACTTAAACCATGTTCTTTTTCTGGGCTATAATTTTATTTTCATTTGAAAATAATGTTGACTGTAGTCTTTTCCAAGGTAATTCCATCTCTAACATCAGATAAGTTGGTTTAAGATGTAAATCTTCTATTTCCTGTCACAGAAAACTTTATCATAGTTAGTATTTAGTGACATTTCATATCTTTTTCTATATCCCTCCAAATACATAACTTTGTTTTTAGTTCTTAGACTCTGCCAGTGAGTCTAGGATAGAAGCCTTGGAATTGTAGTGTTTCATTGTCAGAGGTTTAAAGAATTGTGTTATGATTATAAAATTACAGAAACTCATCATGAAAAAAATTGGAAAAGTATAAAGAAGTAAAACAATGTATTTGTTATTTTCTTTTCCAAAGGTAGCCATTGTTAAATTGGATATTTCTGTCAATTTATGTACAAATATGCACACATGCATATATTTTAAAATTTCAGGGATCATATGGTGTATAGGTTGCATGGCAATGAACATACTAATGAAATCTGTCTAAATAAATCTTTGCATGTCAGATAATTTGCTTAAGATAGAGTCCCCCAAATAGTATAAGTCCTCATATAGTATAAGAAGATGAATTATACCAGAAATATAAGGAAAAAAATTACTTACCAATACCAAATATTATCATTGAAAATATTTTGTCTGTTTGATAGAAAATAACTCATAATATCAGATCTCCCCCACCCCACTTGTGGTATTGTTCTTATTACTGGTAAACAGGTTGCCAGATTGACATCTCATAGAGACATTTCTCTAGTATGCCCTGCTGGCCTTATGAGCCCCGTGTAAGCCTGGCAGGCCAAGTTTATTGCCTCTCCTTCAGGATTGAGTACCTTGGCATATTCCTGTGAAAAGTCCCAATTTCATGTAGCCAGTAGGAAAAAAATGCAACTGCAAGGCATTTGGTTGCAATGCTTCCTGTTGTTTTCCCAAGAGGAACATTCAAACATTTGCTATCAGTGAAACCATGAATAAGGGGGCACTACTGTACCAGCATAGGGTGGGCAATGCACCAGGAGAGTGGAACAGACAGCATGTGGGACAAGAGATCAGAGGGGGGAGAGATCAGCTCTGCATGGTATCAGTGGAGAGATGGGATTATGCCTCATTTTGATGACTGACACAGTGTTTTGGAAGGCAGAGCTCAACAGAGAGGGAGTTTCAGGAAAGGAAAACACATTAACACAGGAGTCAGGAAAGCACACAGAGCATGTCTAAGAGACTGAGTTGGTGTGATTTTGCCAAAAGGTAGAGGATGTGACAGGACATGGCAGGGCTGCTGGGGTTGGAGAAAGTAGGATTGTCCTGATTGTGAAGAGGCTTCAGTGCCTATTATTCCTCTTGTGAATTCCATGTCATATCAGAGCCCATTTTTGTTGTTTCTGGTGGTTGGGATCACCATCTGGAAGCTCCTAATGATCCTATTTCTTGAGCTAAATTGTTTGTGGAAGTATTTCCCACAAAGTCTTTGACTTTTCCATTTGGATATCTCAGTAACTTTACTGTGACATAGGATATCCTTGGAGTCTTAATTTGAGTCTGTCAACTCTGGGATTTTAGAGGTGAGATGGCTAAAGTTTTGTTCAGTCCTCATGCCATATCTTGACACGTGGTTTGAGTTATAGTATCTCCCACTGGGAAGGATAAATGCCCTGGTAACAGACCTTTAAAATTCTGGAGGTAAAACAGGAGACTTTGGAGACAGCCTCTTTCACCCCAAACTTTTTGTCCTCCAGATCTTAGCATTGTAATTGTATAGCTAGGGACTGCACTTCTGCTTCCCAAGAGAGAGCAAAACAACATTAAGGAGAGAATGATGACTTCTAATACAGATTAGGGAAGACTCCTTAAGCCTAAAAGTGCATATGAATCATGTGGAGTGGAGAGGTATAACTCTCATTCACTAAGTCTCTGGGAGGCAATTGAGGGGTTGCATTTCTCACAAGCTCCAAAGGGAAGCCATGTCCCTGGTTTGCAGAGCACTGTGAATAGTACAAGTTCTGGGAACACATCTCTACGACTGAGTTAAGCACTGAAGGAGTTATTAAATAGAGTAATGTCTATCTTTGGTTCAAAAGATAGATGCAATCCCCACTAGTTTGGATGGCTTCCTGTGAGCCTTCTCTAAAGGGAAAACTAATTAAATCACAAAAGAAAACGTCCAGGCAAATCATTTCTCCCCACAAATGTTGGGAGAAAAAAAATGATCATGTTAAATTTTCCAAATAATTTAGAGGCTGATCCTCCAATAGTGCTAGAAATTAGAGGAACTGGCTCAATCTTCAGTACTGCCAAGAATCATGAAGCTTTAAAAAAGAATTTGGAGCTGGAGGATGTTAAAGCCAGATGGAAAGGCAAGAAGGGCATCCTGTCTCATTCTGGACAGCTCGTGTATAGATTAATCTACTTGGTTTTGAGACCCACTTGGGGAGAAAGATGGGGCTAAGGGAAGCAGAGAAGAACAGGGTGATGAGATTCAAGTCCATGGCTAAGGAGAAGCAAACATACAATAAGAGGAAGTTTGGATTGGGGAATAAGAGGGGAGTGCATTACCTCTGTCTTTAGATATAGTAAGAGCTTGTGGAAGAGAGATTTGTTCTATATCACTAGGGTGAAAGTAGGACATTGGTTGGTTTCAGCTCAAGGTAAAGAGGGTCTTAATTTTTAAAAATTAAATGTTCTACCATAGATTCAGCTGCCTGGAAAGGTGGGAAGTTCTTGTTAGAGTTGTGTATGCACAGGTATTGCAAGAGGGCCTCAAGCTGATATGCTTGGATCCATCAAATTCTGCAAGATTCTCTAATTTCACTCTCCTTTTTTTGTGGTGCCGGGGATTGAACCCAGGGCCTTGTGCATGTGAGGCAAGCACTCTAGAAACTGAGTTACATCCCTAGCCTGAAATTCTCTAATTTTTCTATATTCTCTTTTGCCAACCTTGTTGGACAGGAAATGTAAGCAGCCAAATGTGATCACAAACTGCCTAAAGGGAAAAGGACGCACATGGTCTTTTTGCCTTTTGTGGTATGACATCATGTTATTTCCCCAATTACCATCTAATCAAACCTGCTTAGTTTGGTCTGATGCAGATCCTCAAGCGTAGTGGCAGTAAAACTGTGTAAGTGTTTATAACAGCCTTTTGCACCCCATCAGGGGATGAAGAGGGCTATGAGTCACAAGCAAGGTCAAAATGGAGAAATTTTAGATAAAGTCTACAATCTCAAATTCAGAAGGGACATGGGAGGAAATTACAGAGAAGAACATGAATCATGTCACTGGGTTGCTCCTGACTTCTCTCCTGACTTTATGTTTCCAGGTTGGAGCCTCTCTCTTTGCCAGTAACATTGGAAGTGACCACTTTGTGGGGCTAGCTGGGACTGGAGCAGCTTCAGGGATTGCCACTGGGGCTTTTGAATGGAATGTGAGTAGCATCAGTGTTACTGGGTTATAGAAGTGGAAAAGAGCCTGTACAAGTCTGTTTTGAGTGACTATTATGAAATACCAGATGTCAGCTGAAGATGAGGTTTATTTAGCTCATGTTTTTGAAAGTCAAAAGTCCAAGCAGCATGTTGCAGGTCCTTGTGAGGGACCCACTTGACTGTGGCATCTCCTGGTGAAAGACAATAGCAGCATTGTATGTGAGAGGTAATATCACCCAAAATAAGAAGTCAGAGAGATGGGTGGGGCCAGAGTCAGGTAAACACTTTCTGTAACTTCCAGGGGGTCACTTCAGAACTACCTTAATCTCCTCCATGAACAGCACCCACAGTGACCTAAGAACCTTATACTATGCTCCACCTCATTCTATGTTCTACCACCTCCCACTATGCTGAGGACTAAGCCTCTAATACATGAACCTTTAGGGGACATGCTAAACAATACCCAAACTATAGCAGAATATTAGCACTTAGCCGGGCCAGTCTGTGTCCAGAGGAGCTTGAGAGAGTACCTGACTGCTCATAGCCATCCTGGGATGCAGATGGAGGAGCATGGTTTTAGGAGCCCAAGCGTTCCTTCCACCAGAGTAGCATGGGAGATAACACTGGAAGGATGGTAAGAGTATTTTTTCTCTTTCCCTTTGGTGTTAAAAAGATGAGGCCCCAGACCTTTCTAGCCATGTTACAAGTTTGGAAATGCTTATCACCAATTATTATTATTGTTATTATTCTCTTTCTTATTAAATTATTTATCTATTCTAATTTGTTATACATGATGGCAGAATGCAATTCATTTCATACTACACATATAGAACATAATTTTTCAAGTCACTGATTATACACAAAGTATTTTCACACCATTCATGTCTTCATACATGTACTCAGGGTAATGATGTCTAACCCATTGCACCATCTATTATTATTATTCTCTAAATGGTATTTTACCCCCTGTAAAATATAGGGAAGAGTCAAAAGAGATCTCAGTCCTCTGGTTGTGGCCCAAGGTTGTGATGATAGCAGTAGCTTCCTGGGATTCCTCTGCTGTTGCCCAGTTTCTGTTTCTTTGGGCCAATTGGGCAACTAAGGCATCCTACAGTCTCTAATGGCCACCTAAGAGTTGTTCTTCAGTTCAAAAAAGAAAGTGCTGGGTGACTTTTTGCAGCAGCAGCTGAGGGGTCCTTCAGGTAAGTAGGGATGGGTTAAGGTTCCTCCTGATTTGAATCCACCTCTTGTTTTGGTTTCAGGCCCTGTTTTTAGTGGTTGTGCTGGGCTGGGTGTTTGTTCCCATTTATATTAAAGCTGGGGTAAGTACTCATTCTGTTATTCCATTCCCTGCTGACAAATATATATGTGACTTTGATCCTTCTGGGGGACAGAGGAGACTCTGTGGAATAAATGGCAAAGATAACCTGTGTTTGCTTTTAGTTCTTGGTTGTAAAATAGTTCCTGGCTCCCTGTTGTGGCACTGAACAGCACCCCTGGTTCTTTTCTGTCAAGACTCATGACTCTTCCCTCTAAGAAGATTTCCTAAGAAATCCCACACTATTCAAACCCCTCTGAAACATCCTGTCCTCTCGCTCTGGGTTTCTCCCTTTACTAAATGGCCATGCATTTGCTCTTGATGTACAACTATGTCAAGTTTCTGCCTTCAGAAAGGAAGCAGATTGAGAAAAAGAACTGTATTTTCTCTTTATTTATGTACATCAGTAGTTCTTGTTTGCTGAGCATGTAGCTGGTACTCAACTATCAAATGCATGCTTGGTATCCTGACTGTGTCTCTCTGATATTTTACATAGGCTAGCTTTAGTATCACCTGTTTAGTGAGATATACTGAGCACCTCCTATGTGTAAATTTGCATATTGGGAGCTAAAAGCAATATGGGAAAAACAGGGAAGGTGCTACATCTTCTGGATACTCACAGATTGATGGTGACACATGTTTTGTCCCAGAGGACAACAATCTTGGGGTAGAGGAAATAATATCAGAAATATTTGGGCAGACTTATAGCTATGATCCTTGGCACTGCCTATGTGAAGAGCATGTTGAAGGTCACATCCAGCCTACTTGACTAGTTTGGTACACTGGCAATATGCCATCAATGTTATGATGTCTTGTTTTTCAGTAGGTGCTCTATATAGGAATATATCTCCCTATATATAGATATATCTATATACATTTCCCCTCCTCTCCAGGACAAGGATCTGCTTCCTTAGTTAAGTCCAATTATGTATTCATTCAAAAACAGGTGTTTATTTGGCACTTTCTATGTACTGGAATAATGCCTAGCTACTCCTATAGTGGTAGGGCAGGTGAGATTGAATTGAGCAAATGGCTGAATGTCTGTGGTCACCTGGCCACTTTGCAAACTTCCCAGGCCAACAAGGATAATGAATCCTTGACCATACTATTGTGGCTCTCATTTTTCTGTGTCCTCTGGGCTCTCTGGTCACTCTAGCTGGTGATGACCTCTCTTACATTTCATGCAGGTGGTGACAATGCCAGAGTACCTGCGGAAGAGGTTTGGAGGCAAGCGGATCCAGATTTACCTTTCTGTTCTGTCCTTGCTGCTCTATATATTTACTAAGATCTCAGTGAGTATGCTGCACTGTGGATTGGGCCCTGGATGCCTCAGAAGCTTCCTCAGAAGCTGTCATTCACCAAGAGGCAGCTCTATGTGTCTCTATGAACTTGGTTCCATAAGCTTTCTTGCTTCTCAGGGTAAAGTCCTGTTTCATGCATCAAAGAGCCAGTGAAGTTTAGTGGAACTTCTTGTTCCCCACTGTGGCACAGGTTGGAAACATAACTGGTTTACAAAGTTTCAGTAAAAGCTGTTCTTATTAGAAGATTGAGAGGGAGTTAAAGAATTAAAATACCATATGATCCAGCAATTTCACTTCTGGGTATATATTTAAAGGAAATGAAATGAATATGTTTAAAAAAATACCTGTACTCCCACATTAATTGCAGCATGATTCACAATAGTCAAGACATGGAATCAACCTAAGTGACCATCAACCAATGAATGGGTACAGTAAATTTGGTATATGTACACTCAATATAGTACTATTTAGCTCTATTTTAATGTTTTTTATTTATATGACAGCAGAATACATCCTATTTAGCTCTTTAAATAATGAAAGAAACTTTTAATTGTGACAATATGGATGAACCTGGAGGATACTGTGTTAAGTGAAATAAGCTGAACACAGAAAAACAAAAACCACCTAATCTGAAATAATGTTACCAGAGGCTGGTGGGAAGGGGGAATCTTGGTCAAAGGATGGAAAAGTTCAGGTAAACAGGAGAAATAATTTCAAGAGATCTATTGTACAGCATGGTGACTACAGTCAATGACAACATGTTGTATATACTTGAGAATTGCTAAGAGAACTGATTTTGACTGTTCTCACATACACACATATTTGGGAGGTTATACATATGTGAGGCTCAAATCAAATGAAAACAGCTTCTCAAGGGACCACATTTCACAAGAGGCTGAAGTATACCTTGTCCCACCCAATTTTTAAAGCTATTTTTGTCTAGTAGTATAATGCCCTCTGTTTCTAATGTGCTTATTGTCAAATCCTGAACAGTTTCTTTTTGGGGGTGGGTATTTACTGGACGTAGAATCCTGGGGTGCTTTACCACAGAGCTACATCTCCAGCGGCAACCCCCTCCCCCCCCCCTTTTTTTTTTTAGTTTTGAGACAGGGTCCTATTAAGTTGCTTCTGACCTCACTAAGTTGCTGATGCTGACCTTAAACTTGGAGTCCTCTTAAGTCAGCCTCCCTAGTGGCTGGAACTACGGGTATGTCCACCACACCTGGCCTAAACTCTTCCTTACAAACAAGATCAGAGACCAACTGGGATGTATCTTGACATGTAAGGGAAGAGGCCTTCCCCCATTCCCCTCCTCCCCACATATTTTCCAACAAGATTGTTTTATATCCAAATGCAACTCAAACCCAAAACAGCAACTAGTCATCTCCAATATCACTGATTCCCTCCCCACCCCCAGAATAGGAAGCAGAGGTAAGAGGGGAGACTGACTCTTTTTGTAAGAGAATCCTGGCTATACCCCAATGGAATGATGGTAAGGAGGCTGGTGCTGGAGGGTAGGGATTAGCAGGCACCAAACAGGCCTGTGTAGAATTAAGGCAGCCCCAAGGCTCCTTGGATGGGAGGTATTCTCTTGAGAAGACCAACACTTCCATGGGGCTAGATAAGGACTAACTGGTGATGATTCATCATTCCCTGTCCCTTGAATTAAAATAAAGTGATCTTGAACCCTTACTCTCTGCCTCTATTGAACCATTAAGTAATATATACCCATTTCAAAACATCATGGTTTACAGGATAAACATGTTAAATATTTATTACTCAATTTTTTTTAAAAAGGGAGTTAAGAACATCTAAGGACTGGCCTCAACCTGAGGCAGCCATGAAAATTTGTGTCCTATCAAGTTAAAATCTGACTCCATGTGATATTTCTGAGACTGTTCAACATAGACAGTCAATACCAATTTTGAAAGGGAACAGTGACATTCTTTGTTAATTGATAGTTCTATTTTCTGTGCTATAACTGAATACCACAGACTTGGTTAATTATAAAAATAGAAGTTTGTTTGGCTCATGAATATGGAGACTGGAAAGCCTAATATCAAAAGACCTTCATTTGATGAAGACCTCTTTAACAGGACAGGAGGTATTACAGAACAAAACAGAGCAAGTATGAGTCAGCTCATATCTCCCTTCCCTGGTCATAGTGGCTGGCCCTGATGACCTTATCTAATCCCAATTTACTCCCAAAGGCTCTACCTCCAAATACTATCAAATACTATAACATGGTTTTGAGGACTGTTTTAACATGAGTTTTGAAGGGGAGATATGCAATCCTCTGCAAAAGGGGAATGAAAAAACCTGGGGATGTAAAGTACTTCTCAGAATCCTATATCGGGAATAAAAACCAGCTCTGTGTGCCTTAGTTCACTGTCCTTTTCACTGCATGAGGCTCCTAGTATTCACTTGGAATCAGTTCCCTGGACCTTTCATTGCTAAACCTCTGGGGGACTTTTATTCTCTCTAAACCCAACCACTGGGATGCTCCCAGTAGTGGCCCTTTATCCTACCCTCCCTGCCAGCCTAGAACTGCAGGCTCCAGTTTGTAGGCTGAGATTTCTCAGGGATTGGCTGGCCACTGGGCACATTTGAAAGCTGAGAAGATCTTTTGACTGGCCTACCGGAACAAGCCTCCTCTTCCTTCCTCACTTCACTTTTCCTTTCTTGGAAGCGTTCAAGTCCATTCGCCATGATGGTAAAACAAAACCAAGCAAAAATCCAAAAATAAAACAAAACAACTCTTCCAAACCAACCTCGGAAACCTCTGAGTTCTAAGATACTGACAGTCCAAAAAAGATAGGAAAACTTGCTTATAGGTTTTGCTTGGCATTTTTCTATCTCCAAAGTAATTACCTGATAAAGGTTAAAGCAATAGTGGAAGGAAGGAAGAAAGGAAAGAACAAAAAGAAGGAAGGAAGGGTGGGTCAGTGGTTGAATAATAAAGAATAAGAGAATGAAAATAGGACCAGTATGACCTTGGTGACAAACCACCTAGCAGTATAATCGGAGGAAGCTGGACTCCTGGTCCATTCATTGCTCACTAACAGGTGATCTGGGAGCAAATGGCATAAACCCTTTAGATGTCCCTTCTTCATGAAGAAACTGGGAATAATAATTGCCTTGTTGACCTCACTGAGTGGTGGGTAGTTAGGATTCAGTGAATTCATTTGAAAGCATAAAGTTACTGAAATGTAAGAGACGATGATAAACATAACTGATTGACAGAGGCTTCAGCTCTCATACAGCAGGGCAGAGAGAGAATTGGCATTTTCTGATATCACCTAGGAGTGGCTCTGGCTTTTCCCCTTTCCAGCAGATACAAAGTACTTATTGCTCTATCAAAAAAGCATGTGATTGGCTTAGCAAGTTTTTCTCCTTTTTTTTTAAATTCTACCTTTTCCAACACCAAAGGAGAGATTAAACCAGTTTTAGAATTTTGTAAAAGATCTGCCCTGGCTAATATCTGAGATGGGTTGAAATTGAAGTGAGCCTTTACTGTAGATAAGCAAGAGGGTGGGAAGGTCACTCTAAAAGTAGCAGGAAGCTGGTGACGGAACTGTCCCTTAGATTTCAGTTTGTGAGGTGGTACCAGTCTCTTGAGCACATAGAGAAGGGTAATGGGTTTCCCCTTTTCAGAGGCAAACATTCTCCAAGTCCACAGTTCAAGCTGGTGAAAGTCTGTTGATTGCAGTTGCCATGGAAAGGGCACTCTTTGCCCTTGGAGCTGGTATAGGGGTAGTCATATAAATAAATGTCCAACCTCTCTTCCTACCTTCCCTATCATCCCACCTATTTTTCAGGTTACTGATTAAACCTCCTTGGATTGAGAGTCCCCAGGTAGGTGAGGGGCATCTTCTTCCTGCTCAGATCTTGATGAGGAATGTTTCCTAGCATCAGCTTTTTCTAAATTTTGCTTTTGAATCATATATGGCATTGTCTGTTGCCTCTCTGTATGATTTCTTGTACTCCCTACTAGAGGCCCTAATAAACATCATATTTGTTCCATCCATTGCCCAAACATGATCGCTTGACAAATGTTGAAGAAGGATGATAGCTCCACTTAGTGCCAGTATATTCAGTGTCAGGGGCTTTACTTCCATTATCTCTTGTTCTCATAAGTGAATGGCACGGGTAGGGGTTTCTGTTTTTACTTTTCACTTTATGGAAGAGAAAATGAAGCCTCAGAGAAGTTAGGTAATTTTCCCCAGCTAGCATAAGGCAAAGGCAGGATTGAAATCTGGGTCTCTCTAGTCTCAAAGTCTGTGGTTTCACACTTTTGTCTTATGCTTAGGTAAGATGAAGGTGTAGAATGATGAAATGGGATAAATCAGCTAGTAGTATGTCCTAAGCTCTCATTTTATATATGGGCAAATAAGGTTTAGGGAGGGAAAGAGACTTTGGGGGGTTAAAGAGGAGCAGAACCAGGATGAAAAGCAGGTTTCCTGACACTAATCTAAATATTTTGACCTTATGTGTCTTCTATCTTTCATTCCTCTAGTACAGAGAGCGTTAAAACTTAAGACTGCTTGAAAAATTAAGGGAAGCAGTTAAATGAATCTCATAATATAAACGAGTTGGTGAGAGAAAGATCTGAAAGGACTGTGAAGAACATCAATTGTACGCTGGGTGTCTGGAGGTCCTGAAGGAGGGAGGTGTGTGGAGAGAGACAAGGCTTTCGCTGTACATTTGGCTGGCTTCAGGTTTACCATGGGGTGTAGAACTTGAAAATTTATAAAGAAATACATACACAGAATTCAGACATGAAAACAAAAGAAATACCTTGATGTCAATTGTACCTGCTAGGAGCCCAGTACACAGGAGTGCAGGGATCATGGATAAAAGAAAAGAACTATTAGTTAACAAAGTGACTAGGTAAGTATAGTGTGTATCACAAACAAAGATTAACCAATTTGTGTGTGTGTGTGTGTGTGTGCACAGATGGTTTATGATAGATAAGAAGAAAGGAGAGAAGGTCTTGTGAGATCCATGTACAGACAGGGAATAACCAGAGACTTGTCAGGAATGTTTTAAGAAGACAGAAATCTGGCATGCATGTAATTTGAGGTAGACAGCAAAGCATATTGCAGGTGTGTGGGTAGTGGTGGCGAGGAGCCTTTGCTATGACTGCCATCTTGAGGTTATATTCTTTCCAGATCAGAGACCCTGAACTGATGTCTCTCCATGAACTCCTCCATTTTATTGGTTCCTTTGAGCACCTGCCTTATCAAACTCCGAGAAGCATTTTGTTATGTAAGGTTTCCTGGCATGGTGCATCTTATTCAAATGTGTGCAATCACTTGAGATAAAGCATCAGATTTTATGAATTACATGTGATAACTGAATGTCCTTGTTTGTATTTCCCGTGGCTATTATCACAGATCATGACTGCAATAAACAGTGACTCTGCTGTCCATTTGGGATCCTTGGGTAAAAATAAAAACTTTGGCTTTTGCTTAAGATTTGAATGCTTATTACCTGGGCTATTCACTTTCACAAATGGAAAGAGAAATTTGAATAATAATGCTTCTGTATCTGAAACCTCATTGCCAGGTAGGATTTACTGGGTGCTCAGATACATCTTAGAACCAGAATGGACAGCAAACACACATATCAAATCACAGCATCCTAAAAACCTCTGCACTGAAGCCAAACAACCCACACAAGACTCATCAAAATCAGAGACTCAGTTCTCTTAAAGATTTTCTAGCTGGGGTCTGAATTTTTATTGTTTCCTAAGAGTCCCATGGAAACTGATCAACTAAACTTTCAAAGCCCTTGGGAGAAACCAACCTACTATTTGCTTGGGTAAATAACATTTTCTTGGAACACAGAGAAGCCCATTTGTTTATGTTGTCTATGATGCTTTCATGTTTTACCTGTAGAGTTGGAATGATGGTATGGCTTGCAAAGCTGAAAATGTTTCTTACCTGACTTTATGGGAAAAAATTGCCAATCCTTGAACCTAGAGGACCATACTTTTCTATTTCACTTTGAGTTGATTTTTTTTTAGCAACATCAGGGAAATTTCCATCTCTCTCCCTTTTTTCTTTGCTTGCTTCTTTCCTTTCCTTCTTCCTTTCATTTTTCCTCCTTCCCTTCCTTCTTTCTCTTTTTCTCTATCCCTTTTTTTCTTAAGGCATTTAACAGTAGTTTAGGAAAGGAGCAATTTGGGATGATTACTGTAAAACAGAGGATTATAGAAAACTCCTTTTATATCAAAGCTAAATATTATTCAAATAAGCATGATCACTTGAGATAAAGCCTGAGTTTTATGAATTACACATGATAAGTGAGCGTTGTGTGTGTGTGTGTGTGTGTGCACAGATGGTTTATGATAGATAAGAAGAGAGGAGAGAAGGCCTTGCGAGATCCATGTACAGACAGGGAATAACCAGAGACTTGTCAGGAATGTTTTAAGAAGACAGAAATCTGGCATGCATGAAATTTGTGGTAGACAGCAAAGTTTTTCCTGGTGCTATTATCACCATTGTTCTCAGGGCTATTATACCACTATCATGGTGTATTTCCTATATAGTCCCCTGCTTTTCTAAATAAAAATAATTCAATGAAATATTTAAAACATACAGAAAAGAACAAAGAATAATAATATTGCAAACACCTTGATATCTATCCACTCAAATTTTGTAGATCTAACTATTTATTATTAATTTATTGTGGTATTAGGGATTGAATGGAAGGGAGCATTACCACTGGGCTACATCTTCTCCCCTGCTCTTAGCTCTTCTTTTTATTTTGAGACAAAGTCTTGTTAAATTGCTGAAACTGGCTTTGAATTTGCAATTCTCTGAGTCACTGAGATTACAAGTGTGTGCCAACACAACTAACACAATTTAACATTTTTAAAAAGAAACAAAACATAACGTATCTGCACCCTTTTCTCCGTACTTCCTCTTGATCCTAGTTCCCTCCTTCCTAAGAGGTAAATGCTAACTTTAATTTCATATGTATTCTTACCATCTTTGTTTTTTAAATTTTTTTTAGTTGTAGATGGACACAATATCTTTATTTTATTTATTTATGTGTTGCTGAGGATTGAACCCAGTGCCCCATGCCTGGGAGGCAAGCCCTCTACTACTGAGCCACAACCCCAGCCTCCCATCTTTATTTTTATATTTTTGCTATACCCCCACACACCCATTTATCCTTAAAGAACATTTTAAAAATTTCTGCTCTACTTTTGAAACTTCAAGGCATTTAAGAAAATCTTAGGGTGAAGAAACATCGATAATCCTCTAATACAAACATTTTCATTTCCATATTTCAATCTTTTATATATTTTGTGTATTCTTTTATTATAAAATTTCAATCAGAATGTGCACACTGGCTGGGATTTAGTCAGAAACAGAGCACTTTTTAGCTAGTGCAAGGCCCAGGTTTTGATCCCCAGCAAACACCTCGTGCACATACACACACAAAAAGTACCCACACCATTTTGTTTCATTTCCCCCTGCTCTTAGCAAAAATTTTACACATTTTTTGATTTTTAACTTCAGCATCATTACTTTTAGGGGATGGAGAACATAACTGTTGATATCTAAGTTTCAGCAAACTATTTAAAAATAACTAGTAGACAAAAAAACTCTCAACAGTGTTTGCCTTTGGGAAGAGTGATGATTTTTCAGCATTTAACATTTTACTTTTCAATATATAACTTTCCATGCTGTTTGTTTTAAAACCACACCCATTATTTTATTCAAAATTTTGTTTTAAAGTCAATTTTAAAAATTGGTTAAAATGACTTAGCAGAAAATGTTACAGAAAAGTGATTCTTTACTTTTCAATGTTGTTTTAAGGATCAAAATAACATGTGCATCTGAAAGCCCTTAGTAAACTATAAAATTCCTATAATTGAAGGGAGAAAGAAAAAAAAGCCAGGGGCTGGGGTTGTGGCTCAGTGGCACAGCACTTGCCTAGCACGTGCAAGGCACTGGTTTCGATCCTCTGCACCACATAAAAATAAATAAATAAAATAAAGGTATTTTTAAAACAACAACAACAACAATCCAGCAGTGAAGAATGAAAAATTGGTTCATTGAGAGAGACCCAAAGACTAATGCCAGAAACCCCAGGCTAAAGTGAATTCACTCAGATACAGTCACTTTCATGAACTCAGCTATCATATCCCCAGTTGTTTCTGCTGGCATTTGGGGTTTCAAGGGCAGAATTTATCTTGGAGGTAGGAATGACTCATGGGAGGAAGAATTTATTTGCCAGGGAGATTTGCTTAGAATTCTTTATCTGTACTAGACGGAAATAGAATGTCATAAAACAAGATTTATATGAGATCAACATTTCAAGAAGTCTTTATAAGCTTCATTTATAGAATTATCTTGGGGTTGTGTAATACTTTATCTGAGCTTGTTGACAGTAAGGCAAATATTAATAAGAGAATCACAGTCTACCATGACATGTTATCATAAAACACTAAAAATTACCTTTCCTTGGAAAATAAGCCAATTGTGAGCATTTCTAAGGAAATAGTAGCAGCCTTGAACTCTTTTTATAACTCATTTGTGTTTGTTAGTTATTCCACCAAATCAAAAGTGTATGAATTTGACAGCATCCTGCTGTAATCATGAATGGGGCCCTTTTAATTTGTATAACTTTGTGTAACTGTTTGGAGGCATGAGATGGCATTATGAGTATTCAGCACAATTTCAAGTGGCTTCATGTGCAGTCAGGAAAAAGTGGTCATTTGCATTTAGCAAGCATAGAGTACAGCAGGGGTTCTTTCCTCCTCTTGGGCTGCTGCAGAGGGCAGGATGAATCCATCCAGGACCTGGTTGGGGAATGTTTTTCTTGGCTGCAGGCTTTTCCCATTTCCAGCCCCTGAGATAAGCACCTGGAGTCAGGACTTCCTGCTTTAAAGATGAAGACACTGAGAAGTGGAAAAGCAAAATGTTTTGCCTAAGGGTACTTAGTGATGGTATCTAAAACTCAGGTCCTCTGACCACCAGCTTCCAGTGATGGGGTCTCTTTCTAAATCACCCTCTCTCTTCCAACCTCCTAGCTCTGCCTATCCGCCTTCACCAAGAATGATGATGGCATTAGATCTCTGGAATGAGAATCTTCAGGGAAGATCTGGGAGGACTGGAGCTAATTCATGGGGTCCTCAGAAGCCCATCTTGGGTATTGGGGGTTAATTCATTCTCCAGGGCTCAAACATTAACAAGTAAGCATGAAATTGACATTAGACCAAATAATAGAGCCAAATAAGAGAGATAAAATTATAATCTTTCTAAAGTTCTCTTCATTATTTGGTTGGGTTTGGGATTTCCACTCATGGATTCTGTAGCACTAAAACTTGTGGTTGGGAATAGAGCTGACAGACTTGTGTACATTGAGGTATAAATTATGGATAATAGCTAAGAACAGCAGTCTACAGGTGGGTTAGGAGGAACATCAAGGTGTTAATAGTTATTCCTTGGCAAAAAAAGTTTCAAAGTTAAATAAGTTGGTGAAGTTTGTGTTCTGTGCTCATGTTCACCTTCACAGAGGATGGTATATACTAAAGATTCAGAGAAGTTGTGTGGCAAAGTAATTGCCTTAACCTTTTTAATTCAGCATTTTCCAGGCATTTTTAACCATGGAATCCTTTTTCTGGAATACAAATTATCATCCTGAATAAAGCTAGTTTGGAAACATGGGAATACAGTATGCATCCTGTGGCTAACAGGCTTCTGTCACTTCTAACTCTGCCTTTCCTCTTCTTCTAGGCATCCATCTTTGCTGGAGCCATATTCATCAATCTGGCTTTGGGCCTGGATATATACCTGGCCATCTTTCTCTTATTAGCAATCACTGGGCTTTACACAATCACAGGTGAGTCTGTTCAAGTGAACCAGCATCTCAAGTTCAGCTCAGTATTAGGCATTTCTTGAAGAAGAGAGATGCACCCAAGAAACAGTTTGAGAATGGGCATTTTCTGGGTATCTACTAGTAGTTACCTGAGTGGTCTCAGAAATCTCCAGTAGAGGCTGGGATAGGGCAACTTCTTACAGGACCTCAGGGAGAGCTTGGCCCTGCAAATTGTAGAAACAATGTGACTAAATTGGGAAGATCAGAGGAGTTTCAGGTGCAAGAATGTGCGAGCTGAGAATGGAGGTAGGAATGGTAGGCCATGAGGTGGAGGCAAGGTAAGCAAGAGGATGCACTTGGCTGAAGGAGAGTGGCAACTGAGGAGTAATGAGGGTGAGTGTGGGCCATAGGCTTGATAATTCAAAGGCCTTGGATTTGATATTCTGGGGACTGAGAGCTACTGCAGGAGGGAGAAAGGGATGCAGAGGTGATACTTTGCCTAGTTTGGGAAGGTCAGGACCAGCAATGAAACTTACAGCTGAATTGGGGCTCCATATCTTTGAGGACTAAAGTTACTCAGATAGTCTGAGAAATAGTGAATGGACATAGAAGTGGCCTTCTGAAATGTGGCAATTTGGTAATGTTCCTAGGCATCTCCTTATCAGCAATTTGCTCTTCTTTGCCTTCATTTGGAAGCTGCTTTTTCTTACCATAGAGCAGCCATCTCCTTTGAGCCATCCCTTGGCTTAACATGGTCAAATCAGGTTCTTTAGAAACATTCTCCTTTCCCTAAGGCTTTGAGAACATTTCTGTGAAAAGCGGAGGTTGAGAACACACTTTTAAATAGCAGAATACTGAAAAGCAGGGGCGGGGGGTAGAAAAGGCAGGTTGGTGACTGGGGATGGGGTTGCTTCTCAGATTGTGTATAAGAAGTAGAGGTCATGATGGGCAATAGGAAGAGGAAGCAGGCAGATAGGCTATCTTCCACATGAGGTCACCTATATTGTCTTCTTGCCTGCTTAGGGGGCCTGGCAGCTGTGATCTACACGGACACCTTGCAGACAGCAATTATGCTGGTGGGGTCTTTTATCCTGACTGGGTTTGGTAAGTGGGGGAAGGGCAGGCTGAGGAGGGGGTGGGGGAAGATATACAGAGCCAGGCAAAGAAAGTTTGGGGCAGTCAGTGTCCTTTGAAGGGCAGTGGTCCAACCCACATTGGCCATCACTGAGGAGGACTCATGTTAGGGCTCCTGTTCTCCCTTGATAGCCTCAGTCAGTTGACCCCCCTGTGGGCCTCTTGTCTGCAGAGAAATTGAGGGGGGAAAAAGATGAAAAGATGAGACTTAATACCCATTAAGTTAAATATATCCAAGTTTTGTGTTTTCAATTTTAGCTTATATGTTCCTTACATTTTGAAGTTAAATGTCCACTTTCATGAGTTGTTGACAGTATGTGACAATTTTCCTCTCAATGGAAAAAAAAAACTAAATTGGCCACTTAATGTTGGGCCCCTCTCATTTCTTGAGGTTTTTACTTGCCTAGAAAATCCTAAAGACAACAGTGGAAACTTATGTCTATTGACACTTGTTCAGAGAGGACGTAAAATGCACTTCATTTTTAGGTGCACAAGAACTTCTATGTGTCCTGCAAAGACTCTTATGTTCTCTGTAGTGTTCAGTTTTCCATGAACTTTCATTTGGTATAAAAGCTCCCAAGTAGACCCTGTGGGTCAGCAAGATAAGGGCTGGAATGACTTGTAAAGAACCCATAGCTGAAAGGTGGCAGGGTTCCAGATTCCTCATTTTCTTGGTTATTGAATTACACTGCTGAGACCAGAGGTGGTAGGTCTCTGTCCAGGTTCCTACTGGTCACTGAGAGTCTATAAGCCTGTGATCTGAGTTCCAAGGACCATGGCAAACAACAGGGAGTGAGGGAAGAAGTCTTTGCATGTGATCCAATACTATGAACTTCCTTTAAATTATTGAAATATCTTTCATTTTGTAAAGAAGTTTGTGATTAGAACACTCTCACAGTTTTTGCTTTGGATCCTCCTAGTAGCCCCCAAGGGGGCTGGGCAGGGTTAATAATTCCATTCTACGGTTGAGAAAGCTGACGCACAGAATGGGAAAATAACTTGCCCAAGACCACACAGTAAGGGCTGTCTCTGGTGGTGGTGTCCTCTCAAATTCTCAGGCCCCAGAGATGAAATCTCTATGAAGAGTTGGAAATTTCAGACTGTTTTGTACCAATGTTTTCCAGCTTTCAGTGAAGTGGGAGGGTATGAAGCCTTCATGGAAAAGTATATGAAAGCCATTCCAACCTTAATTTCTGATGGAAACACCACCATCAAGGAAGAATGCTACACCCCAAGGGAAGACTCCTTCCACATCTTCCGAGATCCCCTGAAGGGAGACCTCCCATGGCCTGGGCTCATCTTTGGGCTGGCCATCCTCGCCTTGTGGTACTGGTGCACAGATCAGGTACTCAAGCTGGATATGCAGGGTAAATAAAATATCCCCAGGGCACTGCAGAGATTCCTGCCTACCTGTGGCTTGTGGGGCAGGGAAACATAGGGGAGGCCTCACATGGTCTTGAGTGGCTGAGCCCTTATGATATGGGAGTCTCAGGCCAAGGACCCAGGATGGGGAAGCTGGGATAACTGTAAAGTGTCATGAGAATTCTGGGCTGCACCCCTCTCTCACTGGGCTTTCCATGGCAGGTGATTGTGCAGCGCTGCCTCTCAGCCAAGAATATGTCTCATGTGAAGGCTGGTTGTACCCTGTGTGGGTACATGAAGCTGCTGCCCATGTTCCTCATGGTGATGCCAGGGATGATCAGCCGCATTCTCTACACAGGTAATACCTTCTGTGAGACTCACAGACCATACTCATTTCTCTACCTCTGGATCATTTCTAAAGTCCCTAACTTCCTGCTCCCTGTAGTCTGCCCTCTTCTTGCCATGATTACCAAGCATCATTTTCCCCTCTTATCAACAATGAGCAACTTGAGGGCAAAGACGTTTGGGGTTGTGTTCCCTGATTTCTTATGCTGTCAATTGTTTTCTCATTTTATTTTTCAGATCTTTTAAAGTCACAATATGCATCCAACTTGCCTCTTCAATTTAATAACATGTGCTCAATTATAGCTCCCACACTCACCCCAGGCTTGTCTGTCGTGAAAAAAAATACAGTCAGTCTTTTATATTCATGACTTGCATGTCCATGCATTCAACCAACTATGATTTGAAAATATTCAGAAAAAAATTTTCTCTATTGAACATGTGTAGCCTTTCTTGCCTTGCTATTATTCAACATGTTACCATAAATGTTTACACAGCATTTATATCATATTAGGTATTATAAGTAATGTAGAGGTTATTTAAAGTATTCAGGAAGATATGCATGTGTTATGCAAATTCTATACTATGCTATATAAGGTACTTGAGCACCTGCAGGGTTTTGTATCCACTGGGTGTCAGGTAGTGTCCTGGAACCAGTTCCCTCCACGGACACTGTGAGAAGGCTGTATAACTAACTGAATAGTTTATATTCTAATGCATGTTATACATACTTGTTTACAAAATAGTGCTATGGTTGAATATAGAGCAGCACTAAATGAGATATTCATATAGCAAGTATTAAACAAATGTTTCTTGATCTGAATCCTATACACATTTCTTGAATTCTTTCTAAGCTCTAGATTATGTTCCTTCCCCTCCAAGGCTATTTACTTTTTATCTGTAACCCAGATTTCCCATATTTTGGAAGTGGTATTCAACAATCCTGTCATTGAGGAAATTTCCTCAGTTATTTAGACATTTGACTCTACATCTAAGAGCTGTTTCAAATAAACCTAAAAATTAGGAACCACAAACAACTGTGCTTTTTCAGGAGAAAACAAGGTAATTATCACTACTGTTAGCTGAAGTGCTTCCTCCCCATCTCACCCTAAGCATAATGTCTGGCAGGCTCACAGGCCATACTCATTTCTCTACCTCTGGACCACTTCTAAAGTTCTTAACTTCCCGATCCCTCTTTTTTTCCCCATCTTCCTCTACTTAAGAACCATCCTTCCTCCCCAGTCAGAGGTTGGGGGTATATCAGGACAAGAAGTATAGGAGCATGGGATGGAGATGCTCACTGCAATCTACATTCATTGTGGAACCATTTCCGGGCCCTGGGCATAAATGTTATATTTGACACCTTGTTTTAAGAAGGTGGATTTTAGAAGTATTCCCCCAATGTGTGTTTGCTGACATGATTCTTTGTCTCTCCCCAGAAAAAATTGCCTGTGTCCTTCCCTCAGAATGTAAAAAGTATTTGGCACCCCAGTTGGCTGCACTAACATCGCTTACCCAACCTTGGTAGTGGAGCTCATGCCTGATGGTGAGTCTTTCTTGAGAGGCTGATTGGGTTTAGACTCCCTTTAAATTCCTGGGTGCCTTCTGAGCCTAAGCAGTTTCTGAATCTAGTAGGTCAGTAGGGAAAGTTTCATTCTAAGTGTTTTCAGGTTTTACACATGTCTATAAGACATATGACTTGGTTAGGCTCTATGAGTCCTGGAACTTGTCCATCAGTCAGGCTTGGAAAAGAGATGACCTGAAAATTTATTAGTAAAACCATGGCTCTTCCATAATCATCTAGAAAATCTTTCTAAAATCTTCAACACAGGCAATACAAACTAGTACAATCATTGTGGAAAACACTATGGAGGTTCTTGAAAAAAAATAGAACTACCATATGACCTAACAATCCCACTACTGGGTATATATATCTGAAGGAAATGAAATCGGTATGTGGAAGAAATAGAAGCACTCCCATGTTCATTGCAACATGGCTCACAACAGACAAAGTATGAAATCAATTCATGAGCTCAACACTTTAATGGATAAAGAAAAAGGGGTATATATGCACAAAGAAATACTGTTTTGCCTTAAAAGAGAAGGAAATTCTGTCATTTATGACAACTTGGATGAACTTGGAAATCATTATTTTAAGTGAAATAAGCCGGACTCAGAAAGATGAATACTGCAACATCTCATTTAAATACAGAACCTAAAAAGTTAAAATTATAGCAGCAGATAGAATGGTGGTTACCAGGGAGTGAGATAAAGGTTGGCATGGATTGGAGAAGTCTTGTTAACAGGCTACAAAATTTCAGTTGGGAGGAATAAGTTCAAGAGGTCTATTGTACAATGTGGTGACTATAGTCATTAACAATATGTGCTTGAAAATTGCTAAGAGTAAATTATCACAAAAAAAGGTAAGTATGTGAGGTCATTGATATGATAATTAGCTAGATTTAGCCATTCCACAATCTACACATATTTCAAAAATCATGGTGTACATGATAAATATAAATATTTTTTCTATCCATTAAAAATAAATAAAGCTCTCCAACAAATTAAAATGAAGGCTTAACTAAGCCTCCGAAGTATAAGAGAATTTTACCTGGGGAATGAATTTACTTTTAAATCATTTCAAGGACATATGTTAGGAGGAAAAAGTCCAGAATTTTAGTGCTAGAAGGAAAGAGTTTGAAATCATAGATAATTTGTAGATGGATAGATTTCAGTGTGGCTTCTTATCATATAGGATATGTTATCTCAAACTTATAGAATTACAGGTGAGCCCCACCCTGCTGGGCATGGTGGTACATGCCAATATTTCCAGCAACTCTGGAGGAAAGGCAGGAGGATCACAAGTTCAAGGCCAGCCTTAGCAATTTAGTAGGCCCCTAAGCAATTATTTTTATATTGATACAGGGTATCAATATAAAAATAATTAAAAAGAGCTGTTGATACTGACAGGGCAGTTGTGGCTCAGCAGTAGAGCGCTGGCCTAGCATTTGTGAGGCACTGGGTTGGATCCTCAGCACCACATTAAAAAAAAATATATTGTATCCACCTATAACTAAAAAATAAATATTTTTTAAAAGAGCTGTTGATAAGTATTTAGGCATCCCTGAGAGTCCAATCCCCAGTACAAAAAAAAAAAAAAAAAGAATATGTTATCCTAGAAGATTGAATCCTGAATTTACAATAGCTAAAGTTTGGGGATTGACCTGTGAGATTGTAGTTCATGTTTCATGTTGGAGAAAAAAAATTCTCATAATTATGGCTTAAGATCTGAAAATCTGGTTAGGTTAGGAATGTTAGCACAAAATAACCGAGCTGGGTGCAAACTTCATGGATCAGCACAGCCTTTATTCAGTGATGAAATCTTGCATCTGATGGACCCGCTTTCCTAATAGAAAATGAATCAATGACCAAGGGGGAGTCTGTGCTTATATGTGCTACACTGAACGATGACTTAATTATTGACAGAGCATGACGGTTTGGGCACTCAGGAAACAGGTTTGGGAGAATTTGAAGTTTGTTTTTACTGGGCAATATTTTTACTTGGGGAAGAATGGAGGGCCTGGGTCACTGTTCAATGCTTATCTCTTTCCCTTCAGGGTCCCATTTACTCTCACTGGGAAAGGATTTATCTGGGGGAAGGATCAATGCTTTGGCTTCCTCCCAGAGACTGTCATTCTAGGCCTGATGGACATCTCCTTCCCAGGGATTGTCTTGTCACTGGATGATGTTTGCTTCCTTTCCAGGGAGTGTCCTATCTCTAGAAAAGGGTATATTGGGAAAGGATCAATTTTATCAGTGCATTGCCTTCTTTTTCACTCCCCCTTCCCAGTCCACACTATTTTGGAGTTTGTCATTTTCCATATCTTACAGGGAGGGTCTTAGGAAATAAAAAATTTATAAATATTAATATCTTAATGTAGAATAAACTTAAAAATTTTATTATTGAAAAGAAACTTAGAGGCTTCTTGGTTAATCTCTTTTCACAGTTGGGAAAACTGAGGCCTCCAGTAAGAAAGTGACCTTTTCAAGGCACACAGCAACTCTGTCTGCCATCTGGCTTGCTTAACTCTGCTCAAGGCTGGAATTGAGGAATTTGGGAAGGTCCTTTTTCTTTTAAACCACAGAATTCATGCATGACCTTGGGCAAACTATTTGCATTCAAATGACATAAATAAGAAAGTAATAGTTAACTACCCAGGGAGCCAGGCTGCTTATTAAGGTTGTGAGGAGTAAGAGTCACAATGGCTCTTCCTGTGTTTTACACTGGTCTCTGTGGGGGTGAGTGTGCTATTTCTTTAGATTGACACACCTACTCCTGTCCACTCTTCCTGTTTCTCATTTTCCATATTCTTACGTAGCTTCTTTATGTATCATCTCACAAGTAAATTGTTTTCCTGGCAGTCCACATCAAATGCTATCACTGTGTCTCCTAAATAGCTCTTATCTTCCTCTCCCTCTAAAATTTTGGTCTGATATAACATTACTTTTTGTCCACACTGCTATATAATTATGTTCAATGAATATTTGTTGAGTGAATAAATGAATGAGAGTTTGAAATGAGTGTGAAAGAGAGGATAGAGTTCTGTCCTAGTTAAGCAATTAACTGATGAAATAACCCTGAGCCAATTGCTGAAGGCCCTACCTAATAACTCCTTGAAATAGAGTTATTAACTGAAAAATGAGAGAATCAGACTAAGCAGTCTTTCTAACTCCTATAGCTCCAGTATAGTCTATGATCTATATTATATAAACTCAGGAGAAAATATGTTTTTTAATCCTTCTAAAAAATAAAGAGATTGGAATGGGCAGACTTTATAGTCCATATTGCTAGACAATTTATATGAAACCATAAAATTGTTTATAGATGCCAAATAAGGAATAAGAGAATCATGCTCCTAAAAGATCTCAAGAGGCATTATTGTTACCAAAAGCTCAGTTCTTGTCCCTGATGACAATTCAATAAAGTAGACAAGGTTTTGAGAAAAAGGAAAAAGAAGATTTAATACTTTGCAAGCAAAAAAAAGAAACACAGAACTCCTGTCCCAGAGGCTGTGGTTCTTCCCATCAGGAAGAATGGAGAGCTCTGAAATAGGTGATTCAAAGGCTACATTCCAGGTGTGCCCTGATGGGTATCAGAATTCATTTGCTCACGTGAAGGATTTCTTAGATCTAGTATCATCTCTGAAGTGTGAATTACTTCATTCCATTGATGAGTGTGTACTTACAGACAGACAACTAGGCTTAGTATAGGGAAGAAGGGTAATCCTGTTTCCCCAAGATTAGAGAAGTGGAGAGATTAGGGAGAGGCAGGGTAAGAAGAGAAAAAACATGTCCATTTAAAAATAAGTCACAACTGCAGAGGAGCAAGGGCTATATTTAAAGCATGAGTTAAACGCCTGTTACATTGTGTTTATTAGCTTTGTGTCTGTGGCCAAACACCTGAGAAAATCAACCTGAGGGAGGAAAGATTTGTTTTGGCTCATAGTTTCAGAGGTTTCAGTCACTAGAGGTTTCATTCCATTGATTCTAGGCCTTGGTGAGGCAGAACTTCCTGGTGGGGAAGGTGTGGCAGAGGAAAGTTACCTCATACAGTCAGAAGGAGAGAAAAGCGTGAACTACTTCATTCCTGTGGTGAGTGTACTCACAGACAGACAACTAGTAAGCCAACAGAGAACTTAAGTACATAACAGCCTGAGATAAGATCCACCATAAGGGCATTGCCTCAAGGGCTCACTCTCTTTAATGAGGACCCACCTCCTATAGTTTCTAACACTTCCCAGTAGTGCTACCAAATTATGCATCCACCAATGGATGAATCCACTGATGAGGTTTGAGCCTTTATGATCCAATCACTTCCCAAAAGCCCCACATATGAACAAAGTTGTATTAGAGACTGAGCCTTCAACACATGAGCTGTTCGGGGACATTTCAGATCCAAATCATAACAGGCATGAATGTTGATGCAAATAAGTAAACCAAAGTTAATATAAATATGAGTCAAGTTCTATATAGTTGGGTTCCTAAATTATGTAGGAATACTGAAGATATTTAGCTTAGAGAATACAGAACTCAAGGGGACACAAGTTATCTTTAAATATATGAAAGAGGTAATGGAGGTGAAAGGTAAGACCTCTCTCACTGAGTTGCATAAGGACTGAAGCTGTAGAGAGGCATATTTCATCATGGTCAGAACAGTCCAAGAGGGAGAAGACTTCCTGTAGTGTAGCAGATTTCCTCTTACTGAAGTTTTGGGAACAGGAAGCGTTGTGGAAGGGACCCAAGTAGCAGGTAGATGATAAACCTAGGTAATCCCTAAGGTCACTTTGCTTCTGAGACCGTAAATCTGTGCTGTGATGGTGGGCCCTCAGCTCGCCCTGGCCTTCTGGCCTCAGCAGGTGCAATTGTGTGCCCACAGAGGTATAAAAAGAATGACAGAGATTATAGCCAACCATGCTTTCTGTGATTGGGAAAACTTTTAAAACAACACCTCTTATTCTGACATGAGTGGATGTCATAGTATCCCTA